ATTAATTAAAATCATGAAACTTGTTTAATTTAACAGCAATTTAGGCCTATTAAAAGTTTAGGCCTAAACAAAAATTACATTCTTAGGCCCCAAATTCTGTGCTTTCCATTTTAATTTTTCTGTATTCCATTTTAATGGTTTAATCAAAAACATATCTACTTAATTTAATTCATAAAAACAACTTAATTTATTAATTTGTATACAATAATAGGGCCCTATGAAATTTTAATTTTATTTACTTATTTTTTTAGAAATTCTGTGTTGTGTATTTTCATTTTTCTGGTAATCAAATGAAGGCGAAAACATTAATCTATCTTTTATTCCAATGAAAATTAAACAAACCCTTTATTTTTTTTTACATTCAAAATGCTACACAAGAGACGTTTACTGTGTAACGAGCAATGTCACGGAATTCGTCAAATATTGAATGAATAAATCAAATGCAATTCAGTACACTTCAATCAAACCGCGATATGGACTAGTGTATGTGAATATTAAATGGCAAAAATACTATTTAGCTACTACAGACGACAACCGCGAGCGTTGCGCGTGCTTAAATAGCAAACTACGAAACGCGCGTCTGCGCCGTTCATTCCGTCACATTCCGCCACATTCCGCCACATTCCGCGTTACACAGTAAATTCCTTTTTTATGAATAGATTCCGGGATTCCGTCCCCATTTTCTACATCGCCCTACTTTTGCTAAGAAGCACGTTCAACGCGGACGCACAGACGGTTGTCGTGGTAATGAATACCAGAGCAACCACTTGTGCCTCCGCACTGAACGCGCATCTCGCATATAAAAAGCATTTTAGGGGGCCCTTGGCTTTTGGGGGCCCAAGGCCGTCGCCTACCTTTTTAGGCGTTTAAGTCCGCCTCTGTTTATATGTATATATAAATACACACACACACACACATACACGTGTATATATTTAAGAAATATATGTAATATATTATATATTCATATTTTAATATGATTAATATATACATGTAAATATTTCTTAAATATATACACGTATGTGTGTTAATATATAAACACACAGTACACACACATATATTATGTAAACACAAACTTTTATTTTGGATGCAATTAATCACGATTAATCGATTTGACAGCCCCAAAATAAAATGTAAAAAATATTTTATATATTATGTTACTTTTCTTCCAGTGAACACAGCACACAATGGGCGAGTGAATGGATTGTGCTTCACAGCTGACGGACTTCATCTCCTCACTACTGGGACAGATGATCGCATGCGCCTGTGGAACAGTGCCACAGGGGAAAACACATTAGTGAGTAGCAGTTAGGGCTGTTTGAAAACTTTCTTAATACCTAATCTCTGTTTTGTAAAGAGTATCAAGAATTATATTTTGAGCCTATGTTCATGCAGCAAAAGGAATGTCTTCTCTCGTGACTGTGTTATTGGCCTTCTGTGGGTCAAAAAAGCAACTGAGGCAGAATGTTGCCAGACATGAAAACAAGATACAATCATCTGAAGACACTCACATGTTTTCCTAAACACTTTCTTTATTAATGACAAAAAATATGTCCTTTAAAAAATGGCAATGCATATTTTTTTATCTGCTAAGCTGTTCATTTGTTGCCAAGAAATCCTTATTTCTCATTAACAGGTGAACTATGGGAAAGTCGTGAATGAGAGTCGCAAAGGCCTCAAATTTACCGTATCGAGGGGCTGCAGTCCGGAGTTTGTGTTTGTGCCATGTGGCAGTTCGGTAGCGATGTACGGGCTTCACTCGGGACAGCTGATCACTATGTTGAGGGGACATTATAATAACGTAGACTGCTGTGAGTTCCACCCAGACTATCAGGTAATGTTGATCCTGATGACTTGCTTAGTGGTTTAGTCTTTACTAATAAACTAAACAAGCTAAAAGTATACCATTAAGTAAAACAATTTAACGCTTCTGAGGTCTTGCAATTATTTCATGAGATCTGTATTAGCTCATAGACTCATTGTTGACTGTGAATCTGTGGGGTGCATTTTTAGGAGCTGTACAGTGGAGGTAAAGACTGTAACGTCCTGGCCTGGGTCCCAGTGCTGAGACAGCCTGACATTGAGGATGATGAAACCAACTCTAAAAGGGTAAAATAGTTTGAGACATTTTGAATATGAAACATATTGTGTATTTTTACCGGCTCTTATTTAAAAATCTGATGGTGCACCTTAATGAAAAATACAATGCGCTGTGGATCAGCTGTTTATATCTTATACAGATCTGCAGGTTTGGGCTAGGTGGGGCAGAAAGTGAATCCTAATTTGTGCTCACGTATACACATTTTGCAACCTTGCTTATGTCTCTCAGCCAATAGATAAGATCAGATGTCCTGACAAAAACTATGCCCATTATGGCATGCTTTCAGATGCAGTTGCTATCCAGACATGGTATACGTGAGATGTGCATGTTACCTGGAGTCACATCTTGACGGCTTGTAGTTTATCAGTCACTCAATGTTTTGTGTTTAACATCCTGCTCTACCAGTTTTTCTGGCAAAAAAATCTGGTACTCATTTTCATAATCGCATTGTATTACTGCATCACCGATATACACATATTAGCTATTAGCAATGACATGGCTTAATGATGTAAGTTTTATTTTTAGTCATGTATTTGGAAGAACTTTAATAATTACACAACAATATATCTTTTTTTTTTTTACATAAATGTAATATATTTTTGTTTTATTATTATTAATTCATTTTTTGGTATTATTATTATATATTTTTTTGTATTATTGTGGTTTGAGAAATATATTTGAAAACTTTTTAGGTTTAAAAAATATGAATTCTAAATATTTTCACCATTTAGTTTTTTCAAAGTGTCACACAAAAATATTTCTAGTTTTCATTCAAATTTTTGAAAGGTTTTTTTTTCATTTGCAATAATAGCTGGGATTTATTCATCCATAACTCCATAACAGCTTCAAGTTCATAAACTTATATATGCAACTGTATCATCTAAGCGATAATTAAACATCACTGAATCGTGTAGGCTTATTAATGATTAAATGTTTGATGTTTCTGAATATTCTGGATGCATATTTTTACAGGGTGGAGCACAAGCTGCTATCAATCCTGCTTTTGAAGATGCCTGGAGCAGCGATGAAGACTGACAGAAAAAGGAACCCATCGCTCTGTTTTCTAACATCCAAATAAACCACTATATACATTCCCCCAGAGGTTAAAGTGCTCTTACTGCATTCAGTTGAATATTGCATCGATGGGTGCATATAAAGTCACTGTAAATAAAAAAACTCATGGGTGTTGAGTACTTCCATTGGTTGTCACCTACTGATGTTCCTGTGGATATTAAGTTTAACATTGTCTTGAGTTTGTGTCTTGGGCTTCACTTCTATGGGATTTGCATTTCAGATATGTGGACTACAAGTTCTCATATCTTTAGAACAAATAAATACCACGATTTAGTGTAACATTGTTGATTGTGCTGAACCTATTTGTTTTTACTTCTGTGAGATGATCAGCAAACTGTTTACGGTTTATTTTTGAGCTTTAAACATTGAATGTAGTTAGAAACAAAGGTCCATGCAGACACTGTATCATTTGTACTGTGGAATTTATGCTAATACATATACTGTTGTCTGTTTTTGTTTTTCTAACTTGAAAAATAAAGGAACTTTTCGAACATTTTATAAATCAATATATTGTGACATCCCTAATCTGTCGCGATTATTTGGCACAACACTTCTGCTCTCATACATTTCCTTATAAAATGGGAGTCATGCATCCAATGGCGTGCAGGTATTGCGAGTCCTGATGCGACATTTGACCAATCAGAGCCCTCAGTCTCGGAACAGGTGAACGTCTCCGCCCACCGCCCGCTCCTCTCAGTGAAGACGGAACTCGGGCGTCTGAAAGAGTAATTGATGGAGGTCTTGTGGTCAAACCATTAGCTTTTACTTTTTAAACTACTTTAACTGGCCGAGAGGCAGAAGACGAGCGCCCTGGTGAACGCAGAGCGGGAGGACCTCGCAGTGTGCGTGAAAATACATATCTGAACTTTTGTTTGTTTTGTCAAGGTAAGACAGGTTGACGCGCACCTGCATTCTTTTGTGAAGTCCATATGTGATATGATGATGTTGAGTTCTTGTAATGATGAGGAAATTCTATCTTCCTTGTTAAAACACTTGGAATTAATTCCATTATTTCGGCTTAATATTTTGAGTAATTTAATTAGTAAACTATGGTTATTTTACAGTGTTTACATCACACTGTTTTTATGGTCACTAAGCTAAAGGGAGCTACTTTATTAGACCACAGGTGGCATCTGATATGTGTTTATATTTGAGTTATTTCAGACTTTAAAAAATAATGTATGCATAACTGAACCTATAAAGCACGTGGTTGTACACACACACACAAATTATTATTATTTTTTAATATTTAATGTTTTTATATTTAAACGTATTTATTTGTTTATTTATTTGTTTGTTTGTAACAAACATGTATTTTGATATTTTAGTTTTAAATATGTTTATACCTTATAGGTATTTTAGGTAATGTACACCTATGTGCACTCAAGGTTCAGAGAAAGTGTTTCAATTATCTTTTTCTTAATGGTTACACTATTATTTAAATTTAGAGTCGTTAAAGAGTGTAATATATTCACACATATGCACAGATTTTAAGAGCCAGACTATATTTCAGCTGAATCCAGCACTGGAATTGAACTTTGAAATTTTCTGGCATCATAAATCAACTTGTTCGTGATGTAGATAATTTTATTTATTTTCCCTTGTATTTATTAATTGTTCAAAATTCACCAACAAGGAATTCTGCCTATGGCTTTGGAAAGACTCTAAGCCAACAGAGCATTTCCCACACTCAAACATCATAAAACTTCAGATATTATGTTTGGTTTTGATTAGTATTGAGCTTTGCAGTTAAGCTATTGGCACCCAGTGTTGAATGCACTTCTGTGGACGGAAGATTCAAGGTAGTGTCCTCCTCTCACACCTGTAACCTGTCTGTCTCATGGCAACAGGCACGTTGAAGCTTGTATTAAAGATTACAGTATCTAGGCAAGTAACTCTCTCCAGATAATTGGAGCAGTATGCCCTGAAACACATCTTGGATTAGTTTCTCTTTAAACATTAAAGTGTGTGTTGAAGGGAGGGGAAAAAAAACGCTTTGGTTGATGCTTCACTAGAACAATGCCAAAATTAATGTACAGCTGCCAAGTTAGTTTTTTTAAAAATAATTTTTATTAGGGCCCTTAAAGTAACCTGTTATTTAACGTATATTTAATGATATTTTTATTTGTGTGGACTGTATGCATGGATACCAGGGAAAATGGTATCCTATAAAACAGTTCAGTTTTATGCAACATTTTATATGTGATATTTATTTTTTGTTACAAAAAGAAGATACAAATACAAATAATGTGTTTCATTATTCATAATAATGTGTACATTGTTCTCTGAGCTCTGCATGTCTTTGTTTATCCACCTCCATGGTTTTATGGGCTGTCCTTTCCTGAACATACACTGACTGCGTGTATTGTGTCCCAACACTCACCCTCTTGTTCAGCTCTGAGTTTGCTGGAGAGGATGGAGGATGGCCTAACTGCTGATTTTAACTTCTTGTGCTTTCTTACCACAATACAACGTTTCATGGTGCCACCATACACGAGTCATTCCTGCTTTATTTTAGAGCATTTAGGTTCTACATCACGGCATGTCACTTTCATGAAGGGAATAGTACTGTGAAGGTGTAATTCAAGATTGTTCAATTATAAACTCAGTCTGAATAATGTGGCATTTAAGTTAAATGACTCAATTTGTGTCAGACTTGACTTATGGGATGAGTTTCTTTTAAATGCCCTAAATATAAGTCATCCATCACACCGTACACTTTGTGTTTGTGACCGTAGGTTCTGACCACTGGCAGTGATGGCGTTCCGTGAGTTCACATCTACAGCTGCACAGCTGTATGACAAGTGGATGAAAGATGCAGGTAAGAAGGTTTCTGACAAAAGAAAATCAAAACATTAACGTACAAACGTACACATTCAAAGCTCATTAACTCCCATAGGCTGCAGAAGTCAGGTTTCAGAAAGAAAACGTGCATTATTTTCTCTGTAGGGGAATAGATTTTATAGAATAGAACTTAAAAAGTATTAAAGACAGACCTACTGTCTGTGAGGTTGTTAACTGATGGTAATATGCTTTTGTTGAAGCCATCAGGTCACATTATTTCATCTTATTTTTTAAAATAATCATGTTTAAAAGGGAAAAACTACATTACCCGTGAAATCTCTTTCAATCAGAGAAATAACTTTTAGCACCCACCCACGTAATTGTGTGCTCTTTATTAAAATGTTTAAGTATTTGTGCATATATATAAGCTTATTTTACAATAAATGTAAAATATATTGTTTCTTCATACATAATTGACATCTTTCAATCAATAGTTTTATATTTCACCATCGTTTTTAACAATGAATCACCACTTATCGCTATTTAACAGGCTTTTTAAAAATCCCTATTGGATAAATACTTCCAGAACTAATGCTGCTGAAGAAGTGGGCTGGCTCTGTTGCACTCTAGTCTGTGTTTGGTAACTTATTCCACCCAGCAATCAGTGCATGTTTAATCAAATGGCTTACTTTGTGGATCTCAACTGATTCTGTTCCTAATATTGTTGAAATGTAATCATTTCATTACTGTATTTTATTGATCTCAGAGAATTATGGTGCACAACAAGAGCAGTGTCAAATATAGATTAATGCACGAACTAATGAAGTTACTATAGATGTTACTGTGCATGGAGACATTACATGGAGTGCAGATATTCTTATGATGTGATTTCAGACCCCAGGACAGAAGACTGGCTGCTCATGTCCTCGCCGCTGCCCCAAACAGTTATTATTGCATTTTACATCTACTTTGTGATGTCACTGGGGCCCAGGTTAATGGAGAACAGGAAACCGTTTGATATGAAGAGGGTCCTCATCATCTATAATTTCAGCGTTGCGGCTTATTCTCTTTACATGTGTTATGAGGTAAATCTGTTTCTGTTTGCTAGCAGGCAAACCTGTTGTTGTGTTTTGCTCGGGAGTTTACAAAGACACGTTTTTATGAACGGGTTTTGTTAGATTCCATTGAGTTATGTTATCATTTCACTGTTAGTTTAATTCAGGTCACACATTAAGTTAATGTGTAAATGACTGGAATGAGTTTAGTCACATCAGTGTCTGCTTCAGGTGACAAAAAAATTACAATTTACTCATCCTTGTGTTGTTCTAAACTTTTATGTACAATTTAAGCTCTTTTATGTACAATTTAAGTGGATGTGATTCATACTGCCAGGCACCATACAAGAAACTTTTGCTATACTTCAAGACTTCTGAAGCATGTAGAACAAACTGAAATGAACCAACTGAAAAGTATTATTGGTTAAAATCTTTAGAGCTTTTTGTGTTGGCCAAATTGGTGGTATGAATTACTGTTTTTTTTTTTGTTTTTTTTTAACTGTATGGAAAAAACCTTTTTACTGTATGGAAAAAAACCAGCTTAGACATTCTGCAGAATATGAGCTTTTTTACAGAAGAATGTATGTCGTGAGGGTGGGTAAATGTCTTTAAACAGAGGTTTCACCGTATAATTGTACATAATGTATAGGATCCTACAAAATGTGTATATCCTATAAATGTGTATATAAAGTGCATTTACATGCCAGTCTTACACTGTTGGTTTATTAGCATAATTGGTGTACATAATTCATGTACAGTAAACACCCTAATCTGTGTTCCTTTTAGTAAACAACAAACTGTTTAAGTAAAACGCAATTGACTCACCGTTTTTTGTTCATTATCCCACTTGACTTGCACTTTGTTGGTGCATGTAGTTAATGTGTAAATCAAAATGTAATAAATGTAAACATGGGTTTCTTGCATTATCTGTTTTTTGGTAAATGCACCATTTAGTTCATTTCCAGATTAAATGACCAAAGATGAATTATTTTTTCTGCAGTTTGTGATGTCAGGCTGGGGAACAGGGTATTCATTCGGCTGTGATCTAGTAGACTACTCTCGATCGCCAAAAGCCATGAGGGTGAGAGCAGAAGAAATGTTGCCTTACCTGCTTTATGAGAAGCTTGTAACCTGGCTCCAGGTTTAGGTGTTTTGCTTGGATGTGGTTGATTTCACATGATTTAACCCTCATGTGGTGTTCGGGTCCTTTTTGCTCTGAAAATTTTTTATTTTCCCCGAAAATACGAGTTAATGTTATCGCATTGGACTGAAATTTTGTGACTTTGTTCACAAAGGGTATAACTACTTCTAAACATTTTTTTTTATAATTTTCATACTTTTCTGGGGGAGATTTTTCACCTTGTTACACCCGTGATGTTACAGAGCAAAAAGGACCCGGCCTCAAACAAATGCTTATAAATCACTCATTATGCTATATTATCAACAAAGATTGGATTCAATCTTTTTGTCAACTTCTCCCTGATTAAACATTAAAGTACACTAGTGTGATGAACAGTGCACATTTTCTTCAGTTTTGATTTAATATTGCGAAAATTGTTCATAAATAATGCTTTTTTCACTCAAAAAATGAGGTGCCTACTCTCAGATAAATGAGGCCTACGATTAATCCGAAGCAAATATAAATACAAAACCAGTCCTAAATGAAAGAAAATAAGTTGACAAAAAGATTGAATCCAATCTTTGGTGATAATATAGCATAATGAGTGATTTATAAGCAATATTTTGAGGCCGGGTCCTTTTTGCTCTGTAACCTCGTAAGTGTGATAGGGTTCTGAACACAACACAATGATACACAGGACCATTCAGACTAAGCAATACACTCACTGTGCTGAGTAATGCATTGTATCTGTATATCTATTTAGTGATTCATTCAAGTTTGGTATAGTTTAAATAACAGGCTTTGTATTTAATAGTTTGTTGGGCCTTTGTGCTTGATCTACATTTCTCTGTATCCAGATGGCATGGACTTGCTGGCTCTATTACTTCTCCAAGTTTATTGAGTTGCTGGACACAGTAAGTAATGTTTCATATTTATTACCTTGGTTTTGTTACATCTAAAATGCTACAGTTTGGCAGGAAGCATCTAGCTGTCTGTCACATCTTTGACACACTGTCAAGCAGCAATATTAGTGTTCTCTCAGGTTATGAAATATGGAAGAAAATAGTGGCATTGTGAGTCACAGACAAAACTCCTGTTAAGTGGTTAGGTGGAAAGCATTTTTAGTGTCTCTTGCCTTGAGGTGCTTGCTTTTCTTGTAGAGAAGTTACCAGTTACCACAGAAAATTATTTTGACTCCTCTGTCCGTAAGTAACAGAAATAGGACGATTGCGTTGGATTTTCACTGAAACTTCAAATTACAATATATCTCTTAAATGACTGGGTCGCAGCCATTTTACACCCTATTTACACCTACAGTATACAGTATTTAGTGCTGTCCTTGTGATCAGATCGCACAAAACGGATGTTAACACCGGGTCTTCTCTGCCTCTTCTGGACAGGTTTTCTTTGTGCTGAGGAAAAAGCACAATCAGGTGACCTTCCTACATGTCTTCCATCATTCCATCATGCCTTTCACTTGGTGGTTTGGAGTCCGGTTTTCTCCAGGTAGGGATTTGTCTCTTCTACGATTGCATGAATACACGTAAAAGATGAATGTCCTATAGATGTCTGTTTGTTTGTTGCAGGGGGTTTGGGGACACTTCACGCCCCTCTAAACTGCATCGTTCATGTCATCATGTATACATACTATGGATTGTCAGCTCTGGGCCCTACATACCAGAAGTTTTTCTGGTGGAAGAAGCATTTGACTTCAATACAGCTTGTATGTATTACAACATTTTAATTTCCTTTTGATGCTGTTTCTTGATCACTGACATTTTCAGAGTAGAGGAAACGTTTATTTATTAATCTATTTATTTTTATTTATTTTTTATATATTTCTGTATTTTTATTCATTTGTTTCATTTAATTTTATTTGTTTTTAAATTAGTTTTTCTTCTTTTTTTGGACTGACATTCACTGTCACTGTCACTTAGAGTTGGTTTTAAAAATAATGTCCCATGTAATGTTTTGCCATTATTTTTGATATATTTCTGTATTTTTATTCATTTGTTTCATTTAATTTAATTTGTTTTTAAATTAGTTTTTCTTCTTTTTTTGGACTGACATTCACTGTCACTGTCACTTAGAGTTGGTTTTAAAAATAATGTCCCATGTAATGTTTTGCCATTCATTCTACCAACTAGACTGATTTGAGTTGGATTTGACACACTTTTATTTTTGCTTGCACTCTCTCTTCTCAGATCCAGTTTGTCATCATAACCTTACATATTAGCCAGTACTTCTTCATGAAAGACTGTCCCTACCAGTACCCCGTATTCATCTACATCATTGCTCTCTATGGCATCATCTTCCTCCTCCTCTTCCTCAACTTCTGGTACCACGCATACACAAAAGGCAAAAGGCTTCCTAAAGGCCTGCAAAACACAACCATGCAACAGAACAACAATGACATACACCACAAGAAAGAATAACTGGTGCTGTGTGACTAGCCAATCAGCAGTGACAATCTACCTAAAACCGCCTTTTGGCTACATTTTTATAAGACTATTTATATGTACACCATTACATTTATCTTGATGCCCTGGGAAAAACACTATTGTACAGACTGTGTGTTGCAGTCTGGGCTGGATCTTGCCTTTTACCCTCAGCTGGGCATTTGAGTTGAACTCTGGGTCATTGCCCTGTGGGCTGCTCCTGTTTCTACTCATTTTCCTCATTGTTTTCTGCATACTGACGTGTTTCCCCTTTTTATTTCATGAGATGAGAGTCAGAAGCCTCACTGTCCTTGAAGGAACCGATGCATTGAACTCATCTTACACTATTGGTGAAGAAGGACAGGAATTCGGTTACCTTTTTTATTTTATATATCATGTTGTCATGAATGTCTTAGGATGGTTCTGGGACAGGTGCTTAATTTTTTGCACAAGGAAATGTATTATGTTAACTTTTAAATATTTATGGGAAAAAAAATTGCTGTATTCACTTAAGCTGGTGTTTTTTTTTTCCTTCATTTAAATTTTTAACTGCATTTTCTAATGGACTGGCTATACTTTGGGGAATTTGCCCCCAGAAGTAGGCTAAACCTCTCAAAACCTCAGCACATGTAGGGGTAGGGCTGGACGATATGGCCAAAATTTATATCACGATATATTTCTTAATTTCGGTCGATACGATATAATTTAAACTGCTTTGCGTCTCTCCGTCAGATAACCTCACGTGCATGATGCGCCATTTATGGGTATTTCCCGGTATTTCCCTAAACCGACACACATCAATTTATTTAGATTTTTTAAATTTTATTTCAGTTTACGAAAATGTTTTTTTACCAATCGTTTTCGTCTTAGTGTTAGTTTTCGTTTACGAAAATAACCTTGATGGAGACGGGCTTATTTAAAATGAAAACACATTCTCCGCCAGCGGGAGGCGCTTTTAGAGTGATAAAACTAGCGGTTTCTCCAGTAATGGCTGTAATCAAAGCAGCTCCGCTCATGGTTGAACTAGCGGTTTCTCCAGTAATGGCTGTAATCAAATCAGCTCCGCTCATGAACACTTCTTTATTAGATTAAATAAAAATCCCATCGAAACTTTTCTGAAGACAGTCCTTTCCCTTTAGAGATACATTCATATAAAACACCCGCGACAAGTTTTGATTTTAAAACGTGCTGTGCTCATGTTTATTCAACGAAGTCAAACGCCACAAATAAATCAATGTATGGGAAACTGGTAATGTATATCGAAATATCGGAAATGTGTTTAAAAATCATATCACCGTTATTGAAAAAAAAATATATCGCGATACATATTGATATTGAATTATTGTCCAGCCCTATGTAGGGGTTTGGGTTAATTTATTGTATTTGTTTATCTTTATGTAAATAGTAGTCTTGTATGTCTCCATTGAGGGTTGTGTTTGTTTTAAATGTAGATGCAAGATTACCCACTTAGATCTAATTTTTCTAGTATCTGTGTTCTCACCATGAGAACACCGCTCCCCCATGTGGAGTAAAACGTAGTAACAGTCTGGGTTACTATGGGTCTGGGAAATATTTTGTATATTTTTAAAATAAACACACAATAAACCTAAATGAATTTGGATGTGTATTGCAGTCGCATAGTTTCTTCTCTTTTTTTAAATTATGATATAAAACTCTAATTTTGGAAACCTTAATAGAATAGTTCACCCAAAAATGAAAATATGCTTAAAACTTACTTAACCTCAGGCCATCCAAGATGCAGTGAATGGGTGCCATCAGAATGAGAGTTCAAACAGCTGATTAAAAATATCACAATAATCCACAAGTAATTCACATGGCTGCAGGCCATCATTTATCATCTTGTTAAGGTAAAAGCTGTGTGTTTGTAAAAAAACATTATGAAGACTTTTTTTTTTTTTACTTCAAACCATGGCTTCCAGCTAAAGTACTAAGCTAAAATAAAAGTCCTCTATCCATAATATTGCTTTCTCCAGTGAAAAAGTCAGCTTGTCTGACTCAGGAGAGAAATATGCACTGTTTACAAGTGAAAACAAATATGATAAGACAACAAGGGATGGACTTTTTCACTGGGGGACGCATTATTATGGATAACGCCTGGTATTCTGGCCAGAAGTGATAGTTTAAAGTTAAAATGCCTTAATGATGGATTTGTTTATTACAAACAAACAGCTTTTCACTTTAGAAGCCTTTAATTGATTGACTGGAGTCATGTAGATTGTGATGGTTTTTATCAGCTGTTTGGACTCTCATTGGTGAGCAAGTGATGTAATGCTAAGTTTCTCCAAATATGTTCCAATTAAGAAACAATCTACATCTTGGGTGGTTTGAGGCAGGGTCAATTTTCAGAAAATGTTAATTTTTGTGTGGAGCACTCCTTTATTTTCTGGGTATGGTTTTTATTTAGTAAAAAAGTACAGAAGAAACAATCTACATCTTGGGTGGTTTGAGGCAGGGTCAATTTTCAGAAATGTTAATTTTTGTGTGGAGCACTCCTTTATTTTCTGGGTATGGTTTTTATTTAGTAAAAAAGTACATCTTTATTATGTCTGTCTTAAGATGGTGTAAAATCTCAAATTCGGTATTTCCCCCAATATTGTAAATCTGCTTCCTTGAGCAATGGAAAATTTAAGCATGGTAAGTGATATTTTTAGAGAGGTTTTTGTAGTAGAACAAACACATTTAAGTGTCTGCCTCCCGCTCACATAAAACAGCATAACAGAATTCTCCCCAAAGCATTTTTCACTGGTGTTTCATGGGTAATTTTGGTCTAGCAGTTAGAAGTAGGTCACAGTTCTCAGAATGTGTGAATTAGCAGGTCAGAAGAAATCTGGATTGCCATGAATAATGCTCACATTTGTTTGTTAGACCCCTGCCTTTTCCTTCTACACCTTGCACTTTGTCATTTTGAGGTGGGATCTCTTAATTTGATTAATTTGCAAAGTAAAACCCCTGTCAATGTCACCATGGAATTAATAAAAAATTACTCAAACACTGCAGGGAAAATTAAATGCACTAATGAACACGCTAAATGCTGCACAGCCCCCTTCATCAAACTGTTATTTTAAAAAAATCAGCTGCACTTAGATATTTTGTTCCATTTAATGGCACTGCTGTAGAGACTCTACTAGACTTCAATATCATTTACTTGAATTTAACTGTTTGGACATCATCATGTGGACTGAGTGACATGGATGTGCATTTGGTTAGACAAATAAAGACAAACCAGTTTTATAGCCGCCAAGAATGTTGTTGACTGGAGGATTATGTCAAACAGATGTGGTAGATTGTTTACTGATGGTGATCCAACACCCCTTACAAAGACTGCACAGCTGCATGATCATTACTGATTCAATAGATGAAGTTTTGGTGTCCAGAAATGTATTTAGGAAATGTTTGTGTATATTCTGTGCAAGGTGATGGGTGTTAATGTCACTACTTGTAGTTGTAAACCCTCTGTGGTGCATATATAAACCAGTGATTTAGAGGTAGTCTGCATGGAGGGATTTTGAATGAGCTTCTCATTAAAATGTATACAGATGTACTTGCTCTTGGGTGATATTTCATGCCCTCTGAGCTTCTTTGGTATTCAAATTTCACCTTACAAAGACTATAAATGTCTTGACTTTGCATAAATATCCCATCTGTATTTGATTCATAAGATTGCCATTAGGTGTTTCTCAAGAAATATGTCTCCATGATTTACCCCAGAACTGTCCAAATCTGTGAAACACAAACAAGCCAAGGTGTCTAAAGTCAAAGGAAGCTCCTTTCCAGGTGAGTGTTTTTTTCTGCTTTTGCTTGTAGTTTTGATTTTGTTTTTAGTTGAAAGGTTAATCTAATAAGGGCCACTGTAGTGGCTTAAAAGGAATACATTTTATGTATGTGTTGGACCTTACATATAGGTCAAAAGGTTAAAAACTGAACTCTTGAAAGCTGAGTTAATGATGGGCGCTTTGTAAGTACTGTTTCGTGAAGCTTCGAAACCTATATGTGAATCATTTTGTTTCGAACTAGTGGTTCAGAGCACATATGAAACTAGGCCTACCAAAGTCACTTGATTTGTTGGCGATCTTTGTGAACTCATGAATGAGTTGCAGCGAACCATTGAACAAGTGTCTATCTATGGTTTTTACCTGATCTCGGGTCAGTTGTTTTTTACATTTATGGACATTTTAATGAGACATTTGTGTAATTAAAAAGAAGAGTAGTGGTTAATGGTCTCTTATTGGCGTGGTTAGACAAGGCCTCTATAAAACAAGCAAAACAAGCCCTGCAATTTAATAAAATAACAAATTATACAGACACTTCATATTTAATTGTATTTGATTGCTAATTGCTTTAAATATATTTGTAAAACAATTTTATGCATATTTTGGTCTGAGTTTTTGTTGCATTTACACAGTTTTGACCAGCAGGCTTCAGAAGCATGTGGTGTTTCAAGCGCTTCGAAACAGTTAATCATTTTGAGAAGCCATTGGTTCAATTCATTCGAAGCTTCGAAAAGGTTCGTTTCTCCCATTACTAGGCTAAGTATTGATAAAGACTGTTTCAAGACCTAAACGCGTCTTGTTGAGCAATAAGGGCCCGGCCATGTGTAAATTGAATGTGCGAGCCTGCGAGGCTTCCGGTGTCATTCGCTTCCAGTTATTTTAAAACCGCGTTATTGAGAAATAGTTATCATGTTTTAATTTATAATCATATTCATAAACACACAACAGTTTGTTTCATATGGGTTGATCTCTGCCAAAAAACTTATCCTTTTGTTTTGGAAGAAAAAAGAAGTTCCAACTCTTAAATTATGGCTGACAGAGTTGACAGATACACTACATCTGGAAAGAATCAAGTATACCCTAATAGACAAGATTTTGTTATTTGAAAAAATTTGGTCCCCTTTTATTTCCTTTCTACAAACTTGTGATTAATAGGTTTATTATGCAGTACCTACTTTTACCACTGGATAGCACTTATGGGTTAAGTTTTTGGGTGGGGGGAAATGTATTTAAAATAATTTTTTTTGTTCATTTATTATTTTCATGACTATTGTTCGTTTTTAATTTTCTTTTTTTAATGTTTATTTGTTAAAATGTAAGTTTTATATGTTTGTATTTAAAAAAGTGTAATTACAAGTGACTGTCTGCTAAAATTTCTAATAAAAATATTTAAACCATATTCATGAACACACTGATTTGTATAGCAAATAATGTTAGCGTTTACTGTACTTTGTAAATATTCTAGTTATTTATCTTTATGAATCGGCTTTTGAATCTGAAGTCTGGCACATTCAAAAAAAAAAAAGAAAAAAAAAAGCTTGTTTCGCATGTTGCAAATATGGTGGATGGAAGATCGGGCATTATTCGTTTCAGGAATCGGTCTACAGTGGTTATGTTCTTGTATTTTGATTTACTAAAAAGAACCGGCTCATAATAGTCCTTTCATTGCAGCTGCAGCTTAAAAATATGGATACAGGAAAGATACTAACTAACTCACTAACTCACTCACTCACTCACTCTCCAAACTATGCAGTGTCATAGACTAAAATATCGATCTTTGGATTTAAAAGAATTGATGTTAGTATCGTTCAAATGAAAATCACATTTGATTTAACACGAGGATGTTTTTACTATAGACAATTTGTTATTGTGATATTTTTCTTTCTAAATTTTTGAATAAAGTAACCTTCAAGATAGATAAAGTGTTGTTGACACTTTAACTTGCTCTGACATCACATGAGCATCAAGCATCTGGACTTGTCTAATAGGTTTGTGTTTGGTGTGTGTCTAAACATTTCGAGCAGATGGGAAATCATGACAGACATAACTCAAAAAGACAGAGCTCGGTGCCGTGTTCACAATATTTATAAATCCCATTGACGTTTGCCGTGTCCGTAAATGTAATTCCCTGATAACTCAATTTCCCATCAAACATTATGAAAACAATAACAAGCATATAACATAGGAACTTCAGACAGTGCCTCACAAAAATGTTAGTAATGAGTTTATTTAAAGTGCGTAACTAGATATCCAAGAGTAATCTATTACAAAATATGATTTGTTTGCTTCCCTTGCCCATTTGAAGGTGGCTAGACCCTGAGAACATAAACTACTGGGGTGAGATAACTAGACTATGACGATATAGAGCAGATTAGCTCCATATGTGTGTGATTATTTATTATTTGTTATTATTACTTATGTTTTATTACACAGCGCTTTGTAATACTTGATTCTGATTGGTCGACCGTGACATTGACTGGTCAGATATTTCCACAATTATCCATGGTCTGCCCACTTTTTCAGGCTTGGTTCTTGAATAATTTTTTCCATTCACGTTTCCCATGGAGATTTTAAAAATGTCTTTGTTAAACAGTTATAAGCAATGAACCAAATCAATCACCTAATTTACAAAATTTGAAGCTAATGCATAAATTGAAGCAAAAATGTATTGGAAGATCTGACAAAATAAAGGACAAGACTGTGTACTTTAAACAATAGCTAAATATTAATTTCAAGAGGTTGATTGTGTGTTTTTTAAAAGTGAACATTTGTTTATTTATTTATTTCAGGATTTGCTCCGATTTGTTTAGATTCTCTGATTGGTGGAGAGGTCTTTGCAGCTTCATGGGTAATGTAGTTTTCAAAATGCTGCTAAATATTGTGAAATAGTGTATAGTTTTTTTGTTGTTGTTTTTGTTGTTGCTCAGGACAAGAGTATTTTTCATGAATGTCAGAACAGAACATGTTTTTAAATGTTATAAATTCAGTATTATTTTCCCAAACATTTTTGTACGTTGCTTTTTCACTGTTTTTCTTGAATCTTTTTGCGTTTCATAAGAGCTTCACTGTTTGATTTTTGCCGTTAAGCCATGTTGTCACAAACGATCAGTTTAAGTTTAATTAACAACATCTTTTTCCACATAATGCTGGAAGTGTTCAATAGCTTGTTTGTGGCTTTGATTTTAAGGTGTACTGTATGCTTCTATAAAATGACTTCTACATTTTTCAGAAGTATGAAGTGTGACAACTAGCCCCGTTCTCTCCTGATCACTAACAACGATGCAGAGACCAGTCACAGGGCATGTGAAATGAGAACTGCAGCCTCCAAAGGGACCACAGAGGTAAACAGTGCGAGTACCACAACTGATGTCTGACGTCCAATATTCATTTCCAAAAGAAAACTCTCCGCTTATTCCATATTATTGCAGTATTCCCATGGTGACACAAACACTCTTGTGGCTCTCGTGCTTGACAATTTGAGACATATAAGCATCCCGCTGTGATGCTGCAGTGGCCCCTGCTTTTTAAAACATCTCTCCAGTCTCTGCTGGAGAAACTTTAGGGAGGGGTGGGGGGAAGCTGAGCGCTCTGATTGGCTGAGAGGCTGGGAACTCTGATATTCTTCAGTCCTTAAACCAAAGAGCATCACAGCACAAAGCACAGTGTCACAGGAAGCAAAGGGGACTTAGACAGACATTCTGTTCTGTTTCAGCTGGACTGTATCGCAGTGACTATCGGGATCAGAAGAGTAAGTTCACATTCACACTTTATTCACTCCCTTTTTCTTCTATATGTACCTCCCAAAGGTATAGAGAGAATGTTTCTGTCTTCTCATGCTTTTCCCGCTGTCACCGTCCATCTGGTCTAGAACTGCCTGCTAACACGTGTCTTTTTGAGATTTATGGCATGTGGAAAAGGAGAGGCAGGTGCAAGGTGACTTTTGGGCACCTGACTTGTTCAGCTAACTCATCGTTGCAACGCATGCAAAGGTTTCTTTTAGAAGAGTGATGTCTGGTGGCTTTTGCATCCTTTAATCTATAAATAGAGCACCCCAAAGCAGCCTGCACTCACAGTGAACTGGAATGTCTTATTGTATCATAATCATAGTAAAGAGAGGCATTATAGTCGACCATCAAGCTCGTGTCCAACTGACGATATTGTAGCTGCTCTTGTGTTTTCCTTCCACATGTCAGTGTTTCCCCTACGAAATGATGTCATGTGTAAAAGCTAGCTCATGACTGTTTGGGAGTGATTCTGACTTCATGTCACATGAAGTTATGATTTTTGCATACTATGAACCCACTATTTTTGAGTATGGAGAGATGCAGTTTTGTATTGAAATGATTTCTGAACAACTTTGTTTCAGTATTTACATATAGGTAAAACCAGTATTTTATCATTTTACATTTTACAAACAATAATACTAAATCTCCTCCTCATCCCTCTTATGCCAGTCACAAAAAGAATAAAATAATAATTAAAAAAAAGAGAAATAATTTGTATAATATAAATATACCACTATGACTAATAATAATAATAAAATACACATTAAAATGTAATAAATTACAGTACCAAATAAATTAAAGTAGATTACTCAGTTATTTAAAAAAGAATAAATTTATTGCACATCGTAACATGTTATAAAGTTTGTTTTACATCTTAGAAATCATACACAAAGCAACCCGAGCTTGATGAATGGACGCATTCAAGATAGTTAAAAATCATTCCTAGATCTGGAAAAATCCCACTAGTTTATCAACAATTTCATACCTATTTTTGACCATATGTAAGTCTAACAACTACTTTTTATTTATTAAAAAAAAAAAAAAAAAAGTCACACAGTGTACTTGAACATTGACAAGATGTCAAAACAAGAATTTCATTTTACGATCCAGTATTTTTTAATAATGGGAAATGTAACAATCCAGTGTGCTTTAACGATGTTCAAAAATGCTGAATCTGAAATGTTTCTGATTTTGAAACGTTCAAAAGGGTGTGCGATGATATATGATGTCAAGAAGGCCAGCTAATGATGTCATTGATGACACCACCCTTCCCCTCTAAAACATCTGTGCTCCTAATCAGTTCCTTATGACATTTTAAAGCACAGTATCGCTGCATTTATAGCCATGCTGGGTAATTATTATTTGTAACGACCGGCCTTAAAACTTGTAAGGGGTACAGACCCCTGCTGTTCTCTAACACCTCTCCCTCACGAACTGTGAATGTTATGCTTCAAAAGCTTGTGTGCGCGGATGTAACTGGAGACTTAATTTAAACCTCCACCTTTGGTTGGCTGTCGATGCCCTTTGTTGCTTTGAACATTTAAACCTTTATGTAAGCTTCTCCCATGCAAATTGCTCTTTGTAGTTCACTGAAATATTAGGGAAGGGGAAGTTGGCTGTGTTTTGATTGCTCTTGGTAACAGACATTTTTTCCTGCTCCTTTGCCATCAGTTTCGGAGCCCTCTATTAGTTACAATTAAGGTAGTATATTTTATTTCAAACATATTAAAAATGGTTGGAAAATGTGCAGGCATGTCTGAGAATCGATGATCCAGTGACTCGAGACAAGCACGTTCACGCTGTTGTTTCATGCTTATTATATAAATTCATACTTTAAAGGTCAATATAAACTCCTGATAGAGATGACAGTTTGTTTTTTCCGTCATGTGAATGTTATTTGGGGGCATATGCCCACACCAGAATCTACCTGGCTAATCCTCATCCGTTAAATCAGCGTGAGGTACATGAGAGGAAACTAGTAAGGGACACTCCGGCAGCGACAAGAACGAATTAACTATGACAGGCCAGACAATCTAGGCAAGTCTAGGTTGTTCTTTTTTATGTTAAGTGCGCTCAGTATGTTCATACACTTCGAAAAAGCTAGGAAACCATTTTCACTCACTTTCAAATATTTCAAATATTTGCTATAAATTTCACAAATAATTTTAATGGTACAGCAAGTTACTCATTAAATTAAACATGGAATTTTGATGTAAAAAGACTGAAATATATTTTCTTATAAACCATACAGTAATCTGTTTTATTTACGACTTTGAAGAATAATTCATTACATTGTAATAGGACTGTTATAAGTTTCAAATCCTCCACTCACAAAATATGAAGACTCTAGTAATATTAGTACACTAAAAAATGGGACAAACCCAGCGGTTGGGTTCAAAACAACCCAATAACTCGGTCAAAACAACCCAATAGCTGGGTTTGTCCCTTTTTAACCCAGCGCTGGGTTATATTTAACCCAGCATTTTTTTGAGTGTAGCTGAATTAAAGTGGTTTTATTTTGGATGTACCAGGTTGCCTCTTAGAGTCACTTGACCAAGTCAATACTACTCTCTTTATCTTTAGCCCCCTTTTCATCAAACATTTCGCTCACTAAATAAATTTAGGATGGCTGAGTGAAGATGGTGCATTTTTAAAATGGCATAGGTAAGTAAAAATGTTGTTGATGCATCATCCACACAGCTAGGTGTCAGTGTAACTCATAATGACAAATCTTGTAAATTTTAATGACAAAAGTTTGTCTGCATCACATTAACTGTCTTAATCATATTTACAAATACATATTGTATTTACATTCGTTAACAGACAATCTATCACTGACTAAACTTAAGCAGATTGCTATTAGCATACATCAAGGCCGTCTTGTTCTATTGTGAGAACCTTAACGTGACAGTTTCTTGATCTTACATCTTTTCTTCTCCCCCGACGGTGTATATGGAATAAAAAAGCCTTTGTTCATTTTCCATTTTAAGATTGTGTTTTAAATGCCTCATCTAGCATCCTGTGTGGAGAGGTTGAAAAGCCATTTCTGGAAGAACATCAAGAAGGAAAACCATTTTCCCCAAACTCTCTCATGACACGTTAAAAGTTCAATAACCTCAGCAGAAACACAGATGGCAAGGCAACATGGGAGGAACTGACATTTAAAGATGCAGTAATGGCAATGCTGATATACAAAAGTTTATATATATGACCATACTGTGCTAAATGTTACATATGAAGCCCTCTGGTTTCCTGTATACGTTAGATTTGCGATTGCATGTATGACATGACATGGCTTTTGCCTTTGCGGTGTAAACATTTCCTAAGTATACAAATATCGTTCTTCCTTGCAGAAAGCACAAGGAAAATAACTTGCCATACAACAACATGCCATATGCATGAATTAAAGATAATTTATTTTATAGAGGACACTGTGGGTTTTGCATGATCATATCAACTACAAGTGCTTGATGGATTTCTTTGGCCGAAAATAATATAGAAAAGGTTGTGTTGTGCTTCACATGGAAAATATTCTGTAAACAATAATTGACATATGCCTATGTTAGCCTGTGACACTCACAAATATTTGACTGGGGAAATAACTGTCTGAGAGAGAGTTTACATTTTCAGCAGTTACTGAGACATGGGGCCCTCTTTCTAAAACACTGTACTTTCCACTGTAAATAGTACAATGTCAAGGGAGCTGTAGTAGTTTTGTGACTAAAATTTCTAGATGAAAATCAAACAGTGATCAGAAATCTTTCACATTTAGTACAAGTCCTGAAGTATACCTATACAAGTATACAGAAAGATCTGTTTATATCACTCTTTTTCTGCAGATTCAGCAAGCTAAACACAAATGGGAAGTGAATTGATTCTGCACCAATATAGCCACTAGATGGAGATAGAGACTTCAGGTTATGAAGATTATTTGGGGGAAAATTTCATTTCTTTGACATTTCATTGCCTTCCTTAGATATTTCATGTTGCACAGCTATTTACAATATGAATAGGGAAATGCTCTGTAAGAAAAGATTGTTTATAGCATTCTTTCCCAATTTTGTTTTAGCGTGTAGTTTGTTTTAATTTTTTGCAAGTTTAGCTTATCACATTCTGTATATTTGTGCTACGTCTGTTGATTTCAGCTTCAGCTTGAACTTAAAACAATTTTCCCCCTTCCTCTCTACTCTGTGTTTGGTTTGTGGGTACAGCAAGGCTAAAGACTCCCTGGTTTAAAAGGTCTTTTTGATTTTTATTATCCCAGTTGCCTTTATGATGTATCACTACACTCATAGAAATAAAGTTTCCAAAAAGGCGGTTTTATAAGTGATACCATATTTTTGGGTCCTGTTTTCAAAAGAACCGTTTTTTTCTTTGTCTACGAAACATTTGAATAATCTAAAGAACCTTTTCTCACTATATTATATTTATATTCCACCTTTTGTGTGATGGAAATGTGCCATTGATGCATTGATATGAAAGGTTCTTCATGGAACCATATGCCAGTAAAGAACCTTTTCACTTTTGGGGTAATATACTTATATATATATATAATTATATTAATGATAAAGTAATTAATCAGTACAGTACAGTTCTGAACTGATTATGTTTTCTGGAAAAGGAGGAGGAATCCAGTTAGAGGAAAGACTGAATTCACCTTGTGAATTATAGAAGTTTTTCTTCAGATCAGCAGAACTGCGCCTAATACCTAATAATAATGCATTGCCATGAATAATCACCCACACTTATAATGGAAATATTTTATTATGTTTTAGGTTTTAGAATACCTCACAGTTAGGAATCTAATTTGACTGTTATAAAATTCTGTATGTACATGCCTATTTTTAAACCAAGGATGCCTAGATGAAATTCTTGAAATGCTAACTTCAAGTTTTAAGATTATTCAAAGCAGGAAGCATCTGTCAAAGATTCAGTTTGGTTTTTCTTGCTGTATTTAAAGTGACTTTGTAAAACAAGTGACTTTGTAGAACTGGCCAACTTCAAATAGGACAGAGCTTGTTCTGCCTCATGAATAATTTATGGAGCTCTAATTTAAGAAATGTACACCATAATTCCATAAGGTCAAATCAAATACATACAATGATTATCCTAGATGTAAAGAGAAAAGTGACACAGCTCTGTGTATGTGTGTGGCACGTTGCAGTCTATACTTTTGAAAACAGTATAATTTCTTTTTCATGCAAAACTAGCACTTGAACGGTTGGTTCCTAGATTATCAGCTTGTCCCCAAGGACCACAGACTCACTGATGAAAAGAAAAGTGCATTTATTCAAATGCAATTTCTGATGCCAGAACTGCACAAGATGTTTTTGTATGCTGGTAGTAGTCAAAATGGGATTTGGAGCCAAAATGTGGACATTTGGTGTCTGTTATCACCTTATTTTACTAGAGTCTCATGATTTGTGTGATGACAAACCTCCTTTGATTTGTTCTAGGACTTTCTATGTTCTGAGGCTGAAACCTCAACTTTTATCTGGGGGACAAACAATGCAAGAGAATGCCTGCAGCGGAGAAAGTCAATTGGAGAGCGTGAGTGCACTGAAATCATTCATGCCATACACATGCACAGACAATTAAAATCAATATGTGTAACTTTTATTGATCTCACTGGGCATTTTACAAGCATTGAGTAGTTATTGGAGTCAGTTAAGAGGTTTATTAACCTCACTCATCATTGGGCATGAACAGACAGAGCAGCTAGCTTTTTTGGTTAAAACTCAGAACAGATGGTACAGGTTCAAATGATTTTTCACGAAGATGTTTTCACTTTATAAATGAAGGGAACAAAGGGAATGTTGCTGCTTTCACCTGTGATAAAGTACATTGTCACTTGAAACCTTGCCTACAGAAGGGTTTGTGACTGTTGTTACAAAAAAGCATTACCTTGGAAATCGGTTGCCCTAAATGGGTTATTTACCAGTACTTACAAACAGTTTTGTGGCAGTGATTAATGATCTGAGCTGTAAACCAGTGGTGGTCCAAAACTGAAGCCCCAGAGGCAGTGACCCATGAACTGGAGTGTTGCAGAGTTTCTCTACCAACTTAGTGTCCTTGTGCAGCACTTAAAAGTGCATTTTTTGCACATATTCCGCTATATGAGGAATGTGCATATGTGTACAACTGTCCAAATGTTTGGGGCCAGTAAGATATTTATTTATAAATGGATACTTTTATTTAGAAAGGATGTATTACATTGATGATTTATAATGTTACAAAAGATTTCTAAGATTTCTATTCATCAAAGAATCCTAAAAATAAGTTTCCACAGATATTAAGCAGCACAACCGTTTTCAATATAAATAATAATAAAAGTGTTTTGAACACTAAATCAGCATGATAGAATGATTTCTGAAGGATCATGTGACACTGAAGACTGGAGTAATGATGCTGAAAATTCAGCTTTGCATCACAGGAATAAATTACATTTTACACGGTTACACGTTTTATACAATACACGTTTTTGGTGGGGTTCCCCACGTAAAATTCTCATTTTAGGGGCTAAATATCACGTTATTGAGGTCGATTAAACCCGCGCACATGAAAAACAACCCGACAACACTGTTACAGACCCAAAACATTTATTGTGGTTAAACTTTTAAATTGGTAGTCTGTGATGATGTTTTTTTCAATGTAATAGAGCAATATAATTTGTATAAAACAAGATGGTAAAATATATATTTATGTTAATATAATGTGGGGTAAAAAGGTCTCCAGGGAGCTGCTATAGTGCTACAAGTATAGCATTATCTTTCACATACTCAAAACAAGTAAAATATTTTACTTATTCATTAATTTTTTTCAAATTTATGTAATAAAAATCTAATAAACAACCAATATGCTAGGTAATATGCATGCTAATAAGCAACTAATTAATAGTGAGAATTGGTCCTTAAAATAAAGTATTACCCAGTACACTATAAAATTGTAGACCGAGACATTTTTGTATTGCATAGTGGCAAGTATTTCAAGTGGCAGCTATTTAGCAGTTTGTGAGAACATAAAACCAAGTGTTTTTTTATCTATATCCTGGGAGGCCTTTAGCCTTGTACTGCCTGTATGTAAGTTATTAAACAGAAATATGTCTCTGAAATATATCATTACAGAAATAGTCTCAAGGAGGCAGATGAAGTGTAGTCCTTTATAAGAAGATTAATGAATTGAGATTCGTCATTGACCTGCTGTCATTTAGCTCCAGGCGACATGATAAGAGACTGTCATCACATCACAAAAGCCCGGGGCAAGAACTTCATATCACTCTGATTCATTTCTGGTGCTTTAGCTCCACATTTCAGGGCTCTGTGATATATAAAATATATTAATATTTTAATGTCAGAAGTGCCTTTATGTTTGAGTTGCAGCTCATTTAGTCTGTTTTAATTTTTAAATCACCCTTCATTCTGTCTTTATCATCATTAATATATTTCATTAAATGAGCAGTGTATTGTTCTTTAGTGTTGGAATGACAAATGAAACATCCAAGTGATTTACCTTCCCTAAAATTCATATGAACGCGTTCAGATACCTGATGACTGAATCCCTGAGCATTTCTGAAAATGTAGATTTCAATCCACAGTAAAAGAAGAAAGAAGAAATCTGCTTTGAAGCCTGCTAGTTAAATATTATCAAATCTCACTTGATAAAGTGGTCTTTACCCATGTGACACCTTAATCATTCCTTTCTGAAATCACATTTCCAATATTTCAAACGCAGTGGAGCTCTACAAAGCATCAGTGACGATTATTAAAATGTTTATATATTCAACGCCTCTGTGAAAACACTGGTAATTGGATCAAAGGTTTGCGTATTTACTCACTTATTTATTTATGAGTCTGCTGATGGTTTGCATATTTCATTCAGGCAATAAGATTGGGGTGTTCCCCCGACAGAGAGCATGTTTCTTTGCAGTTAATGTGTTTTTCACGGGATGTGACTGCAGCCATTAGAGTAGAAAGGTGAGACATTGTTTACTGCTTTCACCTAGAGTAAAAAGACATTTATTTTCACAGTTGGGCAGTTATAGATAGAAAATTCGTTTTTTAGTTAATATCTGATTTATCAAAGCTAAAATAGTCTGTTAAAAAGATGCAATTTAATATATAATGTTTGTGTATATATATGTATGTTTTATTTAAAATACACAAACACACTTAGTTGTATTCAAAGTCCAACTGATTTCATTTTTAAATGATATTTCAAGCATGAAACTTGAGTATACAGATGAAATGTCCCTTTGCATTCACACTTTTGTCCTCTAAACCACCTACAATGGCATTGAGACACATCTAACTTGCTTCCTGTGAAGAGGTAAATGAATTGTTCCTGAAGGCCAGAACTATTTTAAACTCTTCCGTTCACATGGGATACCTTGTTTTGGCTTGCAGCACTATCTGAGTGAACACAATTAAGTAATTAATAATGTATGAGGTGATAAGTTTGAATGTAAACCTCCTGAGAGATAATGTCAATGTTAAAATGTCAATGTTAGAAAAGAAGTAAATACCTTGTAGACTTGTTTTTGAGCACAGGTACTGAGTCATTTTCCCTTCAGTCAAATATTGGAATGGTTTTTTGACTACGAATTATGAAATAATGTATCTTTCAGGATAATTTAACTGTTTTTCATTGCATTTGGGGGTTGGTGCCTGAAGGAAAATGAGTGGGGAGCCTTTTTGTGTGAATCAATGGTGATTTGTGTTTTCGACTTTGTCCTGAAGCTGTTTGAAGAGAGCTGGTCTCTCTGTATCAAATCGATATCTCCTTGTTGTATCCAGAGGGAGTGAGGGTTCTCTCATGTGTCTTCAGAGCATATTGTCAAAAGAAGAGAGGACTTATAATCGCAACAAACAGGAATGATAAATGGATGGATGGATATTTGTCACATGATTCTTTAGAAATCACTTTATTTTGCTGTACATGTAAAAAGCCAAGGTTAAAGGGGTCAAATGATGCGATTTCAATTTTTCCTTTCTCTTTGAAGGGATACAAGCTCTTGGTGCATAAAGAAGATCTGTAAAGTTGCAAAGACTAAAGTCTCAAATCCAAAGAGATATTCTTTATAAAAGTTAAGAGTCAACCGCGCCTACCTAAAACGGCTCGTTCTAACACGCCCCCACATGTCTACGTCACGATGTGGGAAGATTTGCATAACGCCGCCCAAATGTTCATGCAAAGAAAGAAGGCATAACTTTTATTCTCGCTGTAGTATTGTTGCTGCTGCCATGTCGTGAAGACGCTGTGTGTTTCGTTGTGAAAGCGAAACTACTTTGTTTGGCCTTCCAAAAGAGGACGA